GCAACCCACCTGAAAAAGCCTGCATCATGAACAAAGGCTGGACAATAGCCATCTATATCGTTGAATAAAGCAAATGAAATGAAAAGATCTAGGGGCTGGTACAATAATTTTAATCCAAAAAAGTAAAGTTTTCTGGATGACAAAGAGAGAAAAAAAGCAAAGGTGAAAAGGCAACAAACTCAGCTTCTGCAACAACAGAGTACAAATCCCAGTGAGGATAAAGAAGACATAAGCTCATACAATTTTAACTGAGCAGAGCTTAAACCCAGTTCTGAAAATTTTTCTCTGTAATTTAACAGGCTGTGCTAACTGAAGAAGGAATCTGTAAGACATTCCATCACAGACCCCAGTGAAGTGCCTAATATCAACAGGAACAACAGTGATCAGCTGTATTACAGACATGGGAAAAGTGGAAACAAAAAGCACCATACACCCAAAAAAATCCTCAGTGCTGAGAATAACTTGAAAAACTAAATTAATGGGCAAGTAAAATATAGCCAAATAAAATTTCACACTATTAACATTCAGTAGAATAAAGTGAAATATAAAAGATTATGGTAAATGCAAATTTCATTGACAGAACATAATTTTCAGAAAGAAGAAAAATGAAATGTTGTAAAAGATACTCATCCTGTAAGGTAAATATGAAGGACTGAAAACACTAAACGAAGAAGAGCCTAGTAAACTATTTGCAAGTTTACACATGAACAGCAGAGAAACACAAAAGTCACAAGAAAAAAGAACTCAAAATACTTCAGTTATATGAATTTTAAATATGCATATTAATATGAGATACAACTGAAGAGAGATTCAAACTTATATGACTACACTGAGTTTGATTCCCTATCAAAATGTGGTACTCAAATGCATCTGTCCTATAAAAATAGATAAGAACTTCATGCTAAGTTTCCTTAAAAACCTACATCCTTGAGGTATCATATGTAAGAATAAATGCTCAGTAGATAAAATAGCATACAGTATTCAAAAACACAGAACCTACAAGTTTCAACTGGCACCAACCAGCCATCATTAAGACAATTTTGTTTTTTAATATTGTATGTTTATTTATATTTTGAAACATGTATTCGTAATTAAAATTTTATATTTGTTTGTTTGTAGTTAAGCACAAAGCTACACAATGGGCTATCTGTGCTCTGCCTACCACGATTGTCGAAACCTGGTTTCTAGCAGTGTAAGTCCGCAGACATACTGGGGGGTGAGGGCTAAAAATTTTAATTTGTTTGGTAAATGTGTAGATTTTGAACCACTGTCACTATGTTGTAACAATAAAATATTTTACAAACATTTTAATAACCAACAATTCTCATTTTAAGAACCACACAAGATCAAAAGAGTAAATGAATAACAAAAAAATCTGATGACCCAAGAAATTCAATAAAGGAAGACAGTGTTAAGGACATTTCCTAGTTCAACTCTGCAAAAGGATTTTGTTATTAAGCAAAAGCTATACAGAGTTATCTGTACTATCCATTGCAGGCATCAAATCCTTTTTTTTTTGGCATTATAAGCCCCCAATGTATAGCTGAGCCACCAGAGAGCAGCAAAAGGAAGATTGATTTTTTAAGGCATTTAGGTCATCTAATTTCTTTAATTAGGATTAATTCTTATAGTGAATGAATTTAAAAATGCAATTTTCATTGTAGAACCCTTAAATGCTTTTTTCTCTATATATTCAGATATGGAATAAAGTGCAAAGAATGAATGAAATTTACAAGGCAAGAAAGAACTGTTTTGAAATGTTTTCAATTTTCTGGCACAAACCTAAATAGTTAGGTTCAATGATAACTCAAGACAACTGAAAAATATTTCATTATATTCAATTAATAATTTTTTAACATTCCATTAAAATAATTAAACTGAAAAAAAAAGTAAAAGCTTACATACTGCATCAAGTTAGTTGACCAGTAATGTATGCTTGAATACTTTGTTATACATAGTCTTGGTCATATACTCTTAGCAACTCACTGAGAAATTTAAAACTTCAAAGTCTGGGTAATATACCTTAATCCCAGTGATCTTTCCAGAATGACCTGTGTGGTAAGATAAACAAAAGGATAAAAGAATCCTTCCAGTACTGTCTAATATAAAAACTATGCCAGAAACTGAAAATGCATAAAGTCTTTGAAATTAGGATATCAAATCCATAGCAAAAAAAAAATGCTGGTGTAAGAGCAATAATCAAGACAACAATATACAAATAGTATCATCCATTCTAAAAAGATTCTTCCACTTAAAAAGGCACTTAATACATGAGTGGGGTACAAGGCAAGCATCCTCACCAAGATAAAAAATGCAAAATTTACATTAGGTTTTTTTTTATATTGATTAAACACTTTTGGTGAAATTACTAAATTCCAGGCATCTTTCCAAGTTAAACCTGAGGCATAAACTTTTTACATTCTGCCCATATGATATTCAACCTGCACAGAAAATCAAAATCAAACATACTCGTAAAAAATTTAAAATTGTTTTGTTTAATCCTGGAAAAATATGGTAAAGGACCCCTAACACCTTTATTTTCAAATACTGATATTCTTTATTCTTCAATTAATGTAAAACTGATATTATCTTTTCTACTTGTTCTGTATGAAGAAGTATCTAAAACAGAATTGAGGAAAAACAAGAACATTGTACATTTAACAAATACATTATTTATTACAACCATGGTTTTGCCAGTAAATGCATCATCGGGTACAGACTGAAATGTTTTGTAGTAGGGTTTATATATATATATATATATATATATATATA